GGCTGTGAGTGACACAGCATCTGCCGCAGGGTTCTAAGGATGAGTTCAGCTTCCTGGGACAAAATGGCACAGTAGTCCAAGGAGTCGGAACTTGTACGCTGACAAGACGCATGGAAGCTGTTACTGGATCAGGGAATCTGCGCCCTCTATGGAAGCAAGGACCGCAGCTGCTGAGTTACTGTAGTGATCCATGTTTTCTTTATTTTTTCCTTTATTTTTGTAAGCATGGTGACTCCTAAACAAGCACAGGGATTTTGAGTCTGTCAGGACTTGATTTTGTTACCCACACAAACTGAAACTTTTTTTTTTTTTTTTTTTTTTTTTTTAAAGAAATGTTCAGTTGGGGCGAGTGAGATAGCTCAACAGACTAAGAGCCTGCTTAGGCAAACACAGGGACTGGGCTTCGATCCCAGGCACCACAGGCCACGCCGGCCACACCCTGGGGTGCACTGAGCCAGCCACCGAGTTCAATCCCTGGCAGAACCATGGGATTCCCTGGTGCACGCCTGTAATCCTGGTGCTGGGGAGGCTGAAAACAGAAGGATCACTATAAGGCTGATCTGCGAAGTGGGACCCTGTACCAATACATAAAAAAAGAATAAATGAAAAGAAAAATTCAGATGAAGAAAAAATAAAAATTAACTGCATCACAGAAATGAGAAAATTTGTCCTTGTGGAAGATAAGGTACATTAGAAGCAAAGGAAGGGAAGAGGGTTTAAGAACAAAAAAAGAATAAATATTAAGGCTCTGTTTAATTCTGAAGGGTTTTTTTTTTTTTTGTGTGTGTGTGTGTGGTACCGGCCATCAGACTCAGGACCTTGTGCATGCCAGTCAGGAGCTTATAGCACTAAGCGGGCTCCCCAGCCCTCATTCTAAAGTTAAATGGCATCTGTGCCCCCCTTCTTTCCAAAATACCGAGCTAATGTTTTCTTGATTGTGTTTGATTCTCTGCATCTCAGGAGTGATGGGGATTGGAATCCCTGTCCCCAGGTTTTCTTTGTATAATACCTGTGTGATAAGAAAGCATCCAGAATGAAAAGAACAGTCAGTCACTGACAGTTTCCCTTTTGGAGCAGTTGAGAGTGGGAAGAGGAGGGAAGAGAAGGAGTTAGAGAAAGGGAAATACCGGGCAAGATTAGGTTCAACCTGGATTAGCCTAAAGGTAAAAGCAAAAGAATGCAAGAAAGAGCAGAACTAAGAAACATGGAAAAAAAATCTGTTATTTTCGTTGTTGGAATTAATCTCTGTAGCATTGGACGATGAACTCCGTGAAAGTGAGAAATTAGTCTTCCTAGAAATTAGTCTTCCTTGTTATGTGAAGAGGGAAAAATAGGACAGATGAGGGACAGGAACAGAACCAAGGAAGTTATTTTTGATTTGGAAATGCTATTAATAAACCACATAAAGATATTTGGATAGTTTTTTAAAAATATTACACATATGAAGACACACACACACATAATCTTTTTTGTTGATTTTCAAAAGAAGCCAAAGTGCTTAATTTTTAGTTTGGGTAGACATATTGGGAAGAATTATTTTTAATCCAAATAGAGGATAATGGCAAGATGCTAAAAAAGGAAACGTCAAAACATCTGTACAAGTTCCAACAGAGACAGAGACAGTTAGAACCAGAAATGAGGCCAACAGAATAGATTTTTTTTCAAAGCTTTACATCCAGAACCAATTTGCCAAAGCAGGGTAAATGTGTATGCTTAGACACTGAGAATGTTATGTTTTTAAAAGCTGGAATATATTGAACACTTTTTAAAATTAAGTCAAATTATTATAGTTTTTAACCAAAGTGGGGACACTGATTTATAGGAAATGGCAACATTAAACTGGAAACAAGACAATCAGAAATCTTATGGTGATAAGTTGATTAGGTTTTTAAAATCTAGCCATTAATCTTTTTAAAGCTTTTAAAGAATAGTTAAAGGGATTTTCTTTTAAATTTTAAATACCGAACTAAAATTTTCTTGATTGTGTTTGACTCTCTCCATCTCTGGAGTGATGGGGATTGCAATCCCTTTTCCGAGGTTCTCTTTATACAATACCTGTATGACACAAAGAAAGCATCTGGAAAAGACACGAGCAGTCAGAACAGCCCCCCTGTCTATCTTGTGGGGAGCTAGTTAGAGACTATGGTCATCGAGAAAGATTCACCTTGCCCACCACGCCATGCAGGTGCAGGGCCCGGTGAGAACACACTGCAGGGCCAGTCTATTTGATGCTTGTTGTTTTACCCTAACCCTCCCAGAAATGTTTACTGTCTGTGTCAGGAATTAAGGGAAAGATACAAATAGTCTTCTAAGAGCACTAAGTTGCTTTGTGTATAATAGAAAACCTACTTTAAAGTTAGAGCACCAAATATTTTTCCTACTCAGAATGTTTGTCTTACAATATAACAGATATTTAAAACTCTAGACCAAACAATAGTACACTATGCAAAAGTGGCCTTTGCTGAGATTGTAAAAGATAGTAAAGTCTAAACATCAGTGTTTTAATATTTAAATATTAATATTTCAATATTTACAACTTCCCACAGTATCTGCAATGCCTGTGCACCACTGAACAAGACTGCCTACTGCAAGACTGCCTAATGCAGTTAACACGAATGATTACTCAAAAAAGAAAAAGTTGTCCAGCACCATCTGGATCATTATTTTCAAATAGAGTCAAACAATAATTATATTTACTCTCACACAGAAGGAAATAATTGAAACAATTTTAAGAACTGATACAAATCTTTCAAAAAAGGAATAATTAATAATAATAATAATCCAGAGGGATAAAAGTAAATAAAACATTTTAAAAGATATAATAACTTATATTGAATATTTAATAAAAATTGAAAAATTGTTAGAAAATAGTAAGTAAAAAGCAAGGTCAAACCAAGACAGTGGGACCAGAAGAATCTACTATTCTAATGATGTGAAAGAATCAAACTTTAGAGAATATTTAAAATGACAGAAGCATTTTAGATTAATCTCCCACCTCTAAAAGTAAATCCAGATAATGACGTTTTATTTTCCATGTCAGGGATAAGTTAACCTAAGATCTTTATCAAGAATATCACAGACCCTATGGGTATCATAGAGTTTTTCAGGAACAATTAATAGAAGAATAAATGACAGTAAAGTTAAATGCATGATATGCCTTTCACATTATCTTGAAAGCCAGAAGACCTGGATTTCTATTTGTGAATTACTTATTCAGGACAAATGTCAAAGTAGGAGTCTTTCTGGTCCCAATACTGAGTAATTTTCCAGGTGTTACTGTGTACTCAGGTAAGATCTATGTTAAAGGGACCCCTGTTCCCAAGCAAGAGCTACTACTTTTACACATGGCCATGGGCTCAGTACTTGCCTTGTGACCAACCAAAACACATCATCAGATAAAAAGAGCTCCAAGTAAACAAGAGCTTCAGAGTTCATGTTGTTTTTGGAAATCAGTTAACTTCAAAAGTACCAACAGTAACACGAATGTGAAAAGAGAAGGAAAGGAATCAGCTAAGATTCTTAGGGACAATTAAGGAAAATATAAAGCATTAGATCAAATGGTAAGTAAAACATCCCCAAAACAGAAGAATTCTATTGTGAGAGGTTTTTTAAATGTTAAGTTGATTATTAGAAAGGCTCAAATAGATGATCTGTTTCACAGAAGTTATTGTTTTTAATATAGAATTAAAGAAAATTTCCCCCAAATACCGAGCTAAAGTTTTCTTGATTGCGTTTGACTCGCTCCATCTCAGGAGTGACAGGAAGGGGGGTCCCCTTGCTCAGATTTTCTTTGTACAATATCTGCGTGCACAAAACCAACAGTGACATCAGCCTGAACCCACTGTTTAGGTAGATTTCATCTCTAGAAGTTTCTTTTGTTTTGTTTTATTTTTTGTATTTTTAGGGAAGGGTCTACAGGGTGTTCAGGGTCTCACTACTAGATTGGAATCGTAGTGATTCTCATGTTTACAGCCTCCCAAGAGCTGGGATTACAGGTGCGGGCCACCCTGCCTCGTCTTCTAGAAGTTTCGTGAAGCATTTGTGTTTGTGCTTACAGTGAAGTGAAAGAGACCTAACTTTACAAAACAGAGCAGTCAAAGACCACCTGTGGGTGTGGAGTCACGTGCAGCTCAATGCCAAGTTGTGTAGCCTCAGCGCGTGCACGGCGCCAGCCTGTGGGTAGGACTGGCTTGGCTTACATGTGCTTTCTCTCAAAGACAGAAAGATTAGGCCTTGTCAAATGGCACCTAAGCTGATGGAAATTAACATCAGGAATGAACTGTTGGTAATACTAAATTAGAAAATAAGTAGCTTAGTTTTCTATGGTCCTGAATATATCCTCCAGAAAAGCTCTTTTTATTTCTTGCATGGTATCAAAAAAAAAAAAAAAAAAAAAAAAAAAAGCTGAGAAAATTAAGTTTGGACCACTGAGTTACTGTGAATTACTGTGTTGTCTTGAATAAAAATGTTTAAGAATCAGAGTCTTCTAAGGAAAGCTAAAAACACAAAGAATACAAGTAGCCATAATAAATTATATAAAATTCTAATTAGCATTGTCCTTATGAAGAGGTGTTAGATTTTACTTTTGACTTAGGCCACACCGTTAGAAACTCCTATCATTATTCAGGGAGGGGGGGGGGTTGGAGGAAGGAAACATTGAATATTAACAGGTTTTAAGGAAAATGAGGAATACCTACGTTTTAGACAAAATAGTTAAAATTTCACATCCGAACTCAAGCAAATACTAAATTAGATTTGGGTTCAAAACAGGTAATATTTGGTATTATTCCTTTCATTACATGAATTTAGTAAATTCACATTTATAATATGTTAAAATATTAAAAATTATTTCAATAAGAACAAAGGGTTTTTTTTTTGTCCCCTAAGAAATACCGAGCTAAAGTTCTCTTGATTGCGTTTGACTCTCTCCATCTCTGGAGTGATAGCTGTAGGGGTTCCTTTCCCCAAATTTTCTTTGTACAAAACCTGTGAGATACAAGAAAGTACCCAGAAGACATTCAAAACAAGCACAAAGACTGAAGAAGTAAGGGAACTGAGTGTGGATATGGAAGGAGTTTTTTAGTAAAATACTTAGTAAAGATAATGCTTTTGGTTTTATATGTCACAATTTTGGGTAGAACTCTATGGTGCTAATTCTGGGAATAGGAATAGAAAAGTACAACAGAAAGTGCTGAATTATAAGATGTGAGTATAAATAAGGACCTTATGTTAATGCTAAATACAGTGAAATAGCATCGCCACCAGTCAGGTGCTGAAAATGTTAAAATACAACAATAGGATGGGTTTGGTACTAAACCAGATGGTTGAGAGTCAGGTAATACACACACAGACACACACAGAATTTGTTGTTAAAATGTTACTGGTGAAAAAAAAAAAGGATGATGGGTTATTCTAGTAGATTTTTAAAATGGGAAATAGTTTTTATTGATATATTTATAAATACCGAGCTAAAGTTCTCTTGATTGCGTTTGACTCTTTCAATCTCTGGAGTAACAGTGGTTGGAATGCCTGTTCCCAAGTTTTCTTTGTACATAACCTGTAGAAAATAATTAGAATACCCAAAAAGCAAAATAACCATAATAACCAAAAATAACAGTTCTTTAGATTTATAGCCACATGTAGGTTATTTGGTGAGAGCACATTAAAAACAATTTAGCCTTCAAATGACACTAGAGGATTAAGGAAAGTAAATTCCACAGATATTCACGTTCTCTTCAAAGTAGTCACTTTACCACCTTGAAAACTGGGTACTAAATTGCATTTTCTATAGCCAGTACTTACTCCATGCCTGAAGTACACTGAATGGTGATAATAAATTTAACAGTGTGCCTCGTGTTAGTGTCATTTTTTTTTTTTTTTTTTTGGCAGTACCAGGAATTGAACTTAGGACTCTGCACTTGCCAGGTAGGTGCTTCTTCTACTGAGCTATCTCCTTGGCTCCATCCTGTTAGTGTCTTGAGTATAGTAGATTTCTACTCAATAAATACGTTGCTTTTTTTTAAATCATTCTCTAATGATTCTTTTTTTTTTTTTTTTTTTGTAGTTGTTTGTTTTTTGAGACAAGTTCTTGTTATGTAGTTCAGGCTGGCCTTGAACTCACTCTGTAGCCCAGACTGGCCTCCAACTCTCTGCAATCCCACAACAGCCTCCAAAGTGCTGGGATTATAGGCATGCCCATCTTTCCCTGCTTTTTTGAACAGGGAAAGATCCATATGTTTATAGGATCAAAGGACTATACATTTTAATGAAAAGAGTAAGGAACTTCTACTTTCTGAGCTATTTGTCTCCTTCCTCCTTAATTTCAAAAGCTTTCAGCTATAGGAATGAATGACTTCTTTTTTTAAAATAAATAGATTCTATTGCATACTAGTGCATAGGTTAAGGAGCAAGAGGAAGAGGGGTTGTGTCATGGATTAATTCCTAGCCTCAGCAACAAGCTAGCAGTGTGACAATTTTGTTTTGCTAGGAAATTTTAGAAAAAATCTACCACCTTGGAACGAAGTCATATTTCTTTAACTTTTACCAAGCAAGGGAGCAGGACTGTCTTGAGCAACAGAATGAAATTAGAGAAAGACAAGGAACTGAATTGCAATTCAGAGCAACATAGGAACCATAGGTGAATGTTCTGAGTAGTGGGCATAAAATTGGAAATGGATTTGTACCACAGGAAGCCAAAGGGAGTGAACCAGAAATGAGATCCAAATAATATGGCTGAGGTTTCTTGTCTACTTTTGCAGGGATATTTTAGGGCCAAGGGAGGATTCACAACACTCCCAAAGCATGGGAGGCGTTCGGCAGAGGAAGAGGGCAGTCAGGCAGCGGTTGGGAGGCGGCCACACACAAAGCATGCTGGGAGTATGAGCCACTACCGAGCTAATATGCTTCTGGGTCTCCTTGACACGTTTTACTTCAGGCAGGTCAGGGATTGGAGTTCCTTGTCCAATTGCTTCTTTATACTTCACCTATACAAAAATGAGAAAGGAAACAATTCTTACACTGTGTGGTCATTCTTTTCAACAAGTGCATGTGTTTGGTTGTGGCCCTACAATTTTTATGTGTGCATTGAAGACTGAACCCAGGGATTTGTGCCTGCTGAGCAATCTATCAGCTCCTCTATAAGTTTTAAAGCCAGAACTTAAATAAAATGAGCTCTATTATACTAGTTTGGAAGGGGCCACATCCTGATATTGGGTCACAGGAGAACAACTCTGAAGAGAAGGACTCTCGATCTCTTCGGGGCAGGAGTAGAGTTTGTACTTGTGTTGTAATCTCTTACCTTTTCTGTATGCAGTGGTCTTCCTTTACCCATGGAGGAAATATTCCAAGACGCCCAAGTGAAGGCTAAAACCATGGATAGCACCAAACTATATACTACATTTTTTCTAATAAACATAAGCAAATTTTCCAGTAAACATAGGCAAATTTATTGCCATTTTCGTCTTCATTAGGCAGTTATTATGCACCATGGCCTGTCATTTGCTATTTGAGAGATGATAAAACCAACATGAGTTTGTTTTTGAAACAGGGTCTCAGAATGGTCTCAAACTTATGGGCTCAAGTGATCCTCCTGGCTCAGCCTCTTAGGTAGCAGGCACTACAAGTTCACCACACCATGCCTGGCTAGGACAGGTTTCTTTTTCCTTCTTCACAAGTTCACAGATGGAAGATTCATTCTCTTATAGATCATGACAACCTCAGCATATGAATTTTTAAATTCCTTAAGTCAAGAGCTGTCAGCTTTTTCACTTAAAGGAAGTACACTATATAACTTCTCTTTTGCACATTAAAATTGCTAGTTTCACTACTCTTACACTGTAAGGCCATTCAGTAAAAGAAGGATGACTTGAACATGTTCCCTGCATACCACGACAGGCAGCCTCAGCATGGAGGCAGCTAGCACGGGAAGGTGGCAAAGAGTGCACGAGAGTACTGGACGGAGGGATGATTCGTACCGCAGGCGGGAAGCCACCGGGTTGCATCAAGCCACACAGAATGGTGCACAATTTAAAACTTATTTTTTATTTCTGGCTTTTTCCACTGCATATTTTTGGACCAGGTCTGAGTGAAAGGTTACTGAAGCCAGGGATGGAGAAACTGGATAAGAGAGATCTACTGTATTCCGGAGATCCTATGCCGACACTTCCCTTGGCTGGGCAGGAATATTTACATACACGGAAAGTTCAGTTTTCTGACTGATGCTGTCTACTTTCTCGCAGGCCTGTGCTTTTCAGGCCTCACTGCTCCCTCACGAAAGCGGCACAGCACCACGCTGAGTCTGAGGTGACTGCAGCCCCTGCACACATGAAGAGGTGATGGGTGTGCAGTTACCAGCTTTAGAACATAAGCTGTTTACAGTGACAAAGGCTTTCAGTGCCTCCCAAGGGACACTGTAAATTATCAGAGTATGACTGAAAATACTGAGCGTGCTGTGTCATTACCGAGCTAATGTGGTCCTGAGTCTTCTTCACTCTCATCATCTCAGGTGTCTTTCCGATTGCCGTTCCCGGAGAGACATCCTCTTTATACAAAACCTGGGCATGCAGAACCGGGAGAGTGTTATACAGAAGGAAGGAAACTCTAGCAATCCCTGGAGAAACACTGGGACACGTGGCTTCTGTGAGAACAAAAGACACCGGAGGGTGTTCCCAGGAAAAGCTGGAGGATTGCTTCTGAGACCTTCCCCATCACACACCCAGCATACACCACTAAATCACCTTCAGACCTCGAGGCTGGTAAGATTATTGTCCCATATTGACACAATATGAGAAAAACCAAAGCGTGTCGATTAACAACCATAAAACCCCTCCCTTAAGAAACATAAAATCCATTTAAAAATGCAAAGTCAGTCCGTTACTTTCGGGAGATATAAGAAAAGAAATTGCAATGTCAAAAAGAAATCCATCTTCTTGAAGCAAGACAGCACATGTTACTGCTCTGAGATTAAAAAATTTTAAAAAGAAAAAGTTACTTTGTTAGATTTAAGTTGTTATTTCAGATGGTCTCTGGAGCGAGGACACTGGAGTAAAGTATGGGTAATTTTAACAAATAACCAGTAGTATTAACTGTGAGGTTAGATGTTAATTATCTCTATCAATGTGAAGCTAGTATTTTTTAAAGGAGGAAAATGGAATTATTAGGTTAGCATTAGGTGGAAAATAAATAGTAAATATACCGAGCTGAAATTCTTTTGATTTTCTTTAACACGCAGTATTTCTGGCGTGTCTTGAACAACTGTAATTTTTCCTTTACTGTTTTTAAGATCACACTGGTATTGGAGCTATGAAGAAAGAGTAAATATCTTGTTAAGATATCAACATTGTTTCATTTACTTTTAATTGTTCTATGTTGCATAAAGTTAAAACCCTAAATTTAAAAATTTATGCCTCAATAATCACAGTCTGATGGCCAAAGGGAAATTCTTTTTCTTTTTTCCTTTTTCTTTTCTTTTTTTTTGGGGGGGGATAGTGTTTCACTATGTGGTGTAGGCTGGCCTTGAACTCACAGTGATCCTCCTGTCTCAGCCTCCCAAGTGCTAGGATTATAGGCATGTGGCACCATGCCCAGCTTGGAAAATTCTTGGTTTTTTTTTTTTTTTTTTTTTTGAGATTCTTTAATAAGTTTATGCAGACACTCATTTGACCAGGGAGGGGGTTGCTAGAGATGGAGCCCAGGGCCTCTTCCGTGCCAAGCTCATGCTGTACCACTGAGCTACATTTTTGAAACTTAAAATGTGTAAAATTGTTTATTCTTTTTCTTTTTAAAGTACCCCTTGCTTAGATTTAACTTTGAGAAAGAAAGGTGTCACCAATAGTGGAAGGTGGTGACAGTTCGCAGTCGGTAGCAGGAAGCTATCCACCAAGTAGCAGAGGGCCTTTGCTGCTGTGGTTTGGAATCCAGGCATAATGTAAGCCCAGAGAAAGTTGTGGGCAGCACATATTCCCAGGGGAAGGACGGAGTGATGGGGGGCTGCTCAACAGACCCCACAGGGCTGTGACGCCCATGTGCATGTCCAAAAGCACCTTTTTTAGCCTGTGAGATCCCAGGCACCAGTGAGTTGTGTCTTAGATTCAACAAAAACTTACAAGGCTGAAGTTCTTTTGGTTTTCTCGGACTCGTTGCATCTCTGGCGTGTCCAAAACAGTCTCATAGTAGGACATGGACTTCTCTGCATCTTCTTTGTACTTTTTCTGGGAACAGATTCCAAGACATAAGGAAGGTGAACACTACAAAAGTATGGGCCAGTAACACCTAAAGCAGTCCTTCCAGCTCACAAGAGGAAAATTTCTTTACATCTTCTTGTGTTCATGTTTGTTTGTTTGGTTTTTTTGGCAGAACCCAGGATCTAACTCAGGCCCTTGTGCTTGCCAGGGAAGCACTTATTCCACTGAGCCATCTCCCCAGCGTTCATGTTTGTAAGAGATATAAAGCACAGTCCTCAAGTCATTGATGGCCATGCCCTTTCAGTGGGAACTGAGGCCACCCATTTAGTAGGATGGACCCACTGTCAGGGCAGAGCTCACACTGGGAGGCTGTTGCTCACTCATCCATATGGAACCAGTCACTGCTGATGAGGCCTGGGAAGGAGATAGAGATGTTGACTGCATTAGTGGCTGAGCTAGAGAAAAGCACAGCCAGGAGCAATTCAGGCAGGCAAGAGGAAGCAGGAGGGTTAGAGTTTTCCACCTTCTGAAAGACAGCCTAGCTGGGGGGCAGGAGATTTTCACTGAGCTTCCTGCAGGTATGTTTGGGGCCTTTGGCTGCATGATTGAGAAGGTGATGACAGGCAGGAAGAACTAGGAGCTGCGAGGACATGTCTCTGATGCCCAGCAACTGGCTTAATGGCACTAGAGACTAAGGTAACCCTGAGGTCACCACTGTTCCTTGGGCCATCACTATTCCTTGGGCTTCCCTGAATGCACTGATATGTCCTTGAGCAGTGGTGTCCCTATACAGCCAAACTTACTACCAGACTGATGCTTTAGTTATTCTCTGCAGAAAAACACTCCACCCGAGAGCCTTTTCTTCCTCCTTTTGTTAGTCTGTGCTTTCACTTAACCCTTTAGCTTTGAATGTGTGCATTTCTCCTACTTTCAGGGAAGTTTGGGTATACAGGGATGAGGAGGAAAGAGACAAATCACTTTTATAATGGGGCTAAAACTATTATAAACTAATATGTACTTACTATTCTGTCTGTAAGTACATTGTATTATCTATTGCCTGGAAGTATGGAATATTTTAATCTCAATACACAGAGGAAGTTTCGGAAAGATTTTAGCCTAGATTTTATTTATCTAACTGGGAGCTAATTAAAGCAGAGATTTCTGGAAGGAACACAGTCGTTCCCCAGGAACACACACTCTGTCCTGGAAACAGTGGCCTGCATGACTCTTGTTAGCAATCTAAATGTAAAGAAAAGCATTCTTCATTTCCTATGAAAATAATATAAGCTGTCCTTTTCTTTTTTTTAAGATTAAGTAAAAGTTGCCTCAATTGCTTTGTTTGGACTTTGGTCATTTCTCTGCTTCCCAAGGTAGTTTTGAAAGAAAAGACCTAAACAATGCCCCTGGCAGTAAGAAATACTCAGTATAAGATCCTGGATATGTGTGTGAGCTCAAACTGCTTGCATCAATCTTCAAGTAAGAGGCTTTACAGTTATAAAATACGTACTTTTGATGAAATTGAGAAGTACTTTTGTGGAAAACACCATTGTATCATTCAAAGGTAAATACTAATCTGAGTCTGGGAAGAAGTAATCTGCCTACCCTATTTTAGGCTTTGGGGAACCAGCCAAATTGAACGCACACCAGCAGGATAAGTGACAGAGCCTATTCTGGGAGTAGGCAATCTGCCCTTTTCCTCAAACATCAGCAATGTCAGAAACAAAGGGCAGGGCAGCCCTCAGTCCCTCATACTTCAAGGGATGTTGGCCTCCCAGACTCCCCCACCAATGCAGCTTGGTAGCTCAAGGCCTGACGTTCCACCTCTGAGGGAAACTGCTTGTTTTATAATTTATGTTAAATCCAACATTTCAGCTCTGACCCAAGCCTGCACCATCAAAAGTAAATCTCTTTTATTTTCTTGGTGAAAACTGTGATTTGAAACACTTGCTTAGGCATTAGAGGAAGGAGCTTTGCTTGTCATGATTGGGGCAGGTGAGAGGTACCATGAAAAAGAATGCACTTACCTGGCTCGAAAGGTTCTTCACTTGCTGGGCATGAATAATCTCTGGAGTATCAACCACAGAGGTGAAATTGGCCTTTTCCATTTCTGCTGATTGCTTGTACTTAATCTGTAGAAGGCACCCAAGAACTGAGTAAATGTTTTTGAAGTGTACAATAGTTTGGTTTTTGAGACACAGTATTGAACTCTCAATTCTTCTGCCTCTGCCTCTTGAATCCTAGGGTTACGGGTAGGCACCACCACACTTGACTGCGCACACCATGTTTTGGTTTGGTTTAATTAAGAAACAATTAGTATTTGCTTTCTAAGAGTTAAGATTCAACGGATATTTCTTCCTATCATGTCTATAGCTTTAAATGGAAGAGTGAGTTCATAAAGAAGCTCTTGTCTGTTGAAAGACTTCTCACCTATTTATGTGTGGGATTGAGTATGTGTAAGGAAGATAATCAGCAGAGAGTCAGCAATGAGTTTTGTACTTGAGAGCTGACAGAGTGACAATTAGGTAAAATACACACATCAATTAGCATCAGATACTACGGACACCCAAAAGATGTGTGTAAATTTTGGCCTTGAAAGCAGGGGAAGAAAGAACTCCCAAAAATACTCTAAGTAAGGAATTCTTGGCACCAAATGAAGGGTGGATTGACTAAAAAGCAAGGTCAGGATGTCAACATCGGCTCCTGCTTCAAGCGATTTGGTTCCCCAGCTTCTGCCCTTTGTTCTGAAGATGCAGAAAGCAGCCGGCAGAGTCCTCAATCCTTTCCTTGGAATCAATTCCACTAGGCAAATGTTCAATGCCACTGTATGTGTTTGTCACTGACAAACTAGAGGACAGAGGGACAACTCTGTATTCTTATAATCTCAACTATTTTCTTTCTTTCTTTTTTTTCTTTTTGCAGAACTGGGGTTTGAACTCAGCCTCTTGTGCTTTCCAGGTAAGTGCTTATTCTACTGAGCCATCTCCCTATCAACTACTTGCTTGAAAGTCTGACCTGTGCTAGACACACTGACCTGGCTGGCAATGTCAGTAGCATTCTTGGCCCGCATAAAATCTGGAGTTTCATTGGCCATGGCATTCAAGCCTCTTCCCTTGACTTCCAGTTCCAGGTCTCGCTTATATTCTTTCTATAAATACATTATTAAAAGAAAAGTCACCTAACATCTAGTAGGTGGTAACTGAACAGAGTGACTATGAAATATATTCTATATAACACACTGCCCCAGTTGTCACAGCAGTGTCTCTCTTAGCATTTATGTTCAGCTGCATATAACAGGATGGAGTGGTGTGTAGGGAAAAGCCACCGTAGGAAAACACCCTATGCATTTCGTTATGAGTCAACATAACTCCTCCTTTTCAATGATTCTATCATTCTACACTTAGAAAGTTAAAATGAAAAGCAAATTTTAAATCTGATTTGTTTACATAACTAAGATTAAATTTAAGGGCACACCACTCCACTGTTGTAGTTTATTTTATTTTTTATTTTTTGGAGCCAGGGATTGAACTCAGGCCCTTGTACTTGCCAGGCAAGCACTTATTTTACTGAGCTATTTCCCCAGCCCCTACTGTTGCATTTTAATTTAAGTACATCAAATGTATCAAGGTTAAATCAAATAATATTAGTTAAATAATTAGTTATAACAACTATTCAGAAATTTACATATCTAAGAGTTAGTATTGGATATAGATTTAGCAATTGGAAAAACTTTATCTCTTTCTGCATGTGTGTCTTTTGGTGGAACTTCAGTAAAGAGGAGACTCTATTACTTAATGGGCCTGTGCTTGGGTGTGGTCTTACCTCATTGAGAATCTGAGTGGCATTCTTTGCTCGTACCATGTCAGGAGTATCTTCCATTTCAGTGAGGCCCTTTCCCCGGATGCTTTCCTCTAGATCTTTCCTGTACTCTCTCTAGATCACAAAGTAAAAGCAAGAGTCTTGACAAGAAAGCCTAGGTTGCTCTCTTAGGTGAAGGGCACAATCAGAAAACAACCATGTTTAACAGCTCACAGCTAAGATATAATCAAAGGCAGGGTATAAGCTTCATCAGTTAATATTAAATATCAAACAAAAGAGTAGGAATTAATAGAAGGCTAGAGTAAGCATATTTTCATTAGGTATTCCCTGAGAGATTAGAAGAATTATCAGGATAACACATTAGGCGGTAGTACCAAACACATGTGAACTCAACCTGAAACTTGCAGTTAGGTGGTGATGAAAATGACAGGAATACATTGATGAGTGTCATTAGTGCAATTATTTGGATCAAGAGGGAAAGAAAAGACAGAGTGGTCACTACCTCACTTGCTATTTTGGTTGCATATTTGACATGTAATAAAGCTGGCGTGACCTCCAGGCCTGTTAGGTTTCTGCCTTTAATGGACTCTTCATAATCTTTCCTATATTCTTTCTAATGTGAGTAGGAAGGAAAGACAAGTTAAAAACATTTTTTTAAATAATTTATCTTTCAATCTTAGGAAGAAAAAAATTTCAACCTGACCCTTTAACACAAAGTTCTGCCAATGGCCATACATTTGACACTTGCCTGATTATCCCGGAAATATTTGCCTACAGCAAATAGCCCTGTAGGAGACTCCTCTAGGTTCTTAGTTGGTCCAAGAAGTTAATATTTGTAATCCCAAATATACATTATTGGAATCCCACCAAGTTAATACCAATCTACCACTCCCTGTGCAACCCATGGCAAAAGTAAAGACACTAAAACATATTTATAATTACTGGTGAGACAAGGGCCCCTAAGTTCAGCCATGAAGATGGCTTTCTGGAACAAAGAGGCTGACCCAGGGAGGCAACCGTGTTTTATTCAGTGGAGGAGTGGCTTGAGGAGGGATGATTGAGATTTGTGGGAAGTAGGTGAGTACTGTGAGCTGAGCTAGGTGGGTGGCCTACATTTACCTCTGCCATATGCAGAGAAAGTAATTTGCATTATGCTATCCAGATAGTATCTAATGTTTGGCTGGTGCTCAGCCAAAATGGAGACAGTCTCTCTTCTGCTCAGGTGGTCCTCCACATAGCCCCAAAGAAAGTTCTAAGTTGAGAATCATAGAGGAGCCCCTCTCGTGTTTTTTTTTTTTTTTTTTTT